TCCCTAAAGAGGGAAAACAATGCTCAGAAGAATGAAATTGAGTCCTTAAAGAGGGAAGCGAAAGAAACGCAGGGGATCAAAGAATTAATGGAGGAACTAAAGAACTCTGGGAAAAGCAATGAAAGCAGAATAGATGAAATGGAAGAACGAATAAGTACTCTTGAAGACACAGAAATAAAAAGAACTAAAACAGAAAAGGAAAGAGAAATACGAAGGAAAAAGAACGAAGAAAGACTTCGGGAACTATCGGACTCCATGAGGAAAGGAAATATAAGAGTTATAGGAATACCATAAGGAGAGGAGAGAGATGTAGGAACAGAGAAAATACTCCAGGAGATAATTGAAGAGAACTTCCCAAATGTGAAGAAGAAGCTGAAAATTGATATACAAGAAGCAAGAAGAACACCAAACTTCCACGATGAAAGGAAAAATACAGCAAGACACATAATAGTGAAGCTCCCAAGAATCCAGGACAAGGAAAAAATAATGAAGCTGACAAGAGGGAAGAAACAGATAACATTCAAAGGAAAACCAATCAGGCTGACATCAGACTTCTCTGAAGAAACACTACGGGCAAGAAGAGAGTGGAGGGACATAGTCAACAGACTCCAAGAAAACAGATGTCAACCAAGAATACTCTATCGCGCAAAGCTCTCCTTCCTCTATGAAGAAAGAATAAGGAACTTCCCAGACAAACAGAAACTCCGGAATTTCATTACGACTAAACCCCCACTCCAAAAAATACTACAAGGAGTCCTAAAGCCAGAACCTCAGAGGGACGAATAACAACGAAAGAAGGCAAGAAAAAAAAAAGGTATTAAAAGAATAAATAAAATCAAAGGAAAGACAAACACAATGGCAAATACAGATGCTAACATATCAATATTAACCCTAAATGTAAATGGACTAAACTCTTCAATAAAAAGACACAGAGTTGCAGGCTGGATCAAGAAACAAAACCCAACCTTTTGCTGTCTCCAGGAAACACATTTAGCTACAAAAGATAAAAATAGGCTCAAAGTTAAAGGATGGAAAACAATCCTACAAGCAAATGGACCAAAAAAAGAAAGCAGGAACAGCTATACTTATATCAGATAAAACAGATTTCAAACTCAAAAAAATAAAAAGAGACCCCAATGGTCACTACATTATGATCAAGGGGACAATACTTCAAGAACAAATAACACTCATTAACATATACTCACCCAACGAAGGAGCACCAAAATATATCAGACAACTGTTGTCCTCTCTGAAAACAGACATCAGAGAAAACACATATGTAGTGGGAGACTTCAACACACCACTATCAACAATGGATAGATCAACAAGACAAAAAATAAGTAAAGAAACTAAAGCTCTAAATAAGGACCTAGAGCATTTGGGCTTAACAGACATCTATAGAACACTAAACCCCAAAAAAACGGAGTACACATTTTTCTCAAGTGCACACGGATCATTCTCCAGGATCAATCACATGCTGGGGCGCAAAACAAACATCAACAGATACACCAAGATTGAAATCATACCAACCATCTTTTCTGACCATGAAGGCATCATCTAGAAATAAACCATAAAAAGAAGGCAAGGAACTTTCCTACCTCATGGAGACTAAAAACCACACTACTGGAAGACCACTGGACTAATGAGGAGATCAAAGAGGAAATTAAAAAAATTATTTGAATTGAATGACAAGGAGGACACCAATATCCTAAATGTATGGGACACAGCAAAAGCAGTAATAAGAGGAAAATATATAGCAATAGAAGCTCACATCAAGAAACAAGAAAGAACTCAAAGAAACAACCTAGTCTCGAAGCTCAAAGATCTAGAAAAAGAACAACAAAAAAACCCCAAAACCAGTAGAAGAAAAGAAATAATAAAAACCAAAGCAGAAATAAATGAAATTGAAACTAAAAAAACAATCCAAAAGATTAATGAAACTAAGAGGTGGTTCTTCGAAAAAATCAATAAAATAGACAAACCCCTAGCCAGGCTCACAAAGGAAAAAAGGGAGAAAGCACAAATAAACAGGATCATAAATGAAAGAGGAGAAATCACAACGGACACAGCAGAAATCAAAAGAATAATCAGTAACTACTATGAAGAGTTATATGGAAACAAGTTCAACAATCTAGAGGAGATGGACAAATTCCTACAACTCTACAATCACCCAAAGCTAGATAAAGAAGAAATAGAACACCTAAACAGACCAATTACAAGCAGCGAAATTGAAATGGTAATCAAAAACCTCCCCAAAAACAAAAGCCCAGGACCTGATGGATTTACAAATGAATTCTGCCAAACATTCAGAGATGAATTAGTACCTATCCTTCACAAACTCTTCCAAAAAATGGAGAAGGAAGAGACAATACCAAACACATTCTATGAAGCCAACATTACACTAATACCAAAACCGAATAAGGACAACACAAAAAAGGAAAACTACAGGCCAATCTCCCTAATGAACACTGATGCAAAAATCCTCAACAAAATTTTAGCTATCAGAATCCAGCAATGTATCCATAAGATAATTCACCACGACCAAGTAGGATTCATTCCAGGGACACAAGGATGGTTTAACATCCGAAAATCAATCAACGTTATCCAGCACATCAACAAAAAGAAATATAAAAACCATATGATAATATCAATAGATGCTGAGAAAGCTTTCGACAAAGCGCAACACCCATTAATGATAAAAGCCCTTGAAATTCTTGGGATACAAGGAACATACCTCAACATCATAAAGGCCATCTATGACAAGCCAAGAGCCAGTATCATTCTCAATGGTGAAAAGCTGAAAGCAATTCCATTAAGATCTGGAACAAGACAAGGATGCCCACTCTCACCACTGCTTTTCAATATAATACTGGAAGTTCTAGCCAGAGCATAGAGAAAGACATACAAGAAATCCAAATAGGAAAAGAAGAAGTCAAACTATCACTATTTGCAGATGATATGATAATATACATAGAGAACCCCAAAAACTCCACAGAAAAACTAATTCAACTCATCAATCAGTTCAGTAAAGTGGCAGGATACAAAATCAACACACAAAAATCAGTAGCCTTCCTATACACAAATAATAAATCTGAAGAAGAAGAAATCAAAAAAACAATCCCTTTTATTATCAAAACAAACAAAATCAAATATTTGGGCATAAATCTAACAAAAGAGGTAAAGGACCTATACAAAGAAAACTATAGAACACTGTTAAAAGAAATAGAAGAAGACACAAAGAAATGGAAAGACATCCCCTGCTCATGGATTGGAAGAATAAACATTATTAAAATGGCCATCCTACCAAAAGCAATATACAGATTCAATGCTATTCCAATCAAAATTTCAATGTCATTCTTCAAAGAAATAGAACAATTATTGATGAAATTCATATGGAATCACCAAAAACCCCGAATATCCAAAGCTCTCCTGAAAAAAAAAGAAGGAAATGGAGGCATCACACTCCCAGACTTCAAACTCTACTACAAAGCCATAATCATCAAAACTGCATGGTATTGGAACAAGAACAGACATACAGACCAATGGAATCGAATAGAAAATCCAGAAATAAACCCACAGATTTATGATCAACTAATCTTTGACAAAGGAGTAAAGACTATGCATTGGAGCAAAGAAAGTTTGTTCAATAAATGGTGATGGGAAAACTGGGTCGCTACATGCAAAAGAATGAAGCTTGACCACTACCTCACACCATACACAAAAATCAACTCAAAATGGATTAAAGAATTAGACATAAGACCTGAAACCATAAAATACATAGAAGGAAATATAGGCGAAACACTACGGCATATGCACATCAAAGACATCTTTACAGACACATCACACAAAGCAGTGATAGTGAAGGCAAAGATAAACAGCTGGGACTACATCAAATTAAAGAGCTTCTGCACAGCAAAAGAGACAATAACAAAAACAAAGAGAAACCCCACCAACTGGGAGAACATTTTTGCACACAACACTAATGATAAAGGACTGATCACAAAAATCTGCAAAGAGCTGATGAGACTCAACAACAACAAAGAAAATAATCCAGTCCAAAAATGGGCAGAAGAGCTAAAAAGAAACTTCTCTGAAGAGGAAATGCAAATGGCCAACAGGCATATGAAAAAATGTTCAATATCACTTGTAATCAGGGAAATGCAAATCAAAACTACCATGAGATACCATCTTACACCAGTGAGAATGGCACATATTAAAAAAACTAGCAACAACAAATGCTGGCGAGGGTGTGGAGAAAAAGGAACTCTTCTGCACTGTTGGTGGGAGTGCAAACTGGTCCAACCACTATGGAGAGCTGTGTGGAGATTTCTGGACCTACTAAACATATAGCTTCCATATGATCCAGCAATTCAACTCCTAGGTATTTACCCAAAGGACACAGAAACATCCATTCCAAAGAACACCTGCACCCCTATGTTTATAGCAGCACTATTTACAATAGCTAAGCTTTGGAAACAGCCCAGATGCCCAAAAATAGATGACGGGATCAAGAAGATGTGGTACATATATACCATGGAATATTACTCAGCATTCAAAAAAGATAAACACATGCAATTTGCAGCAACATGGATGGCGCTGGAAGGGATCATGCTCAGCGAAATAAGCCAGAAAGAAAGAGAAAAATACCGGATGGTCTCACTCATAGCAGGAATCTAGAAAACTTAAATAAGGGACCAGGAAAATGAATAACTGTAAGAAAGTGAAAATCAAAATCAACAAAAAACTATGAACCAGAGACACTTTATGGGGGGTGGGGGGCAGGAAGGGAGGGACTGGGGTCAGAATGGGGGGGTTGAAATTGTATGGGGAATATAAAAATAAAATTTATTATTAATTAAAAAAAAAGCCAACAGACAGATGGAAAAAATATTCATCACAACTCTCACACCTGTGGAAACATGTGGAGAAAGAGGTACCCTATTCCACAGTTGGTAGGAATGTAAACTGGTAAAACCATTTGGAAAGTAATACAAATTTACCTTAAAAAAACAGCCAATGGCTGCTAATGTACCCACATTTGTTGTCCTCCTTCTCTGCCTTGAGACAGTCTGCATCCTGCATGTTCCATCTTCCCAGCAGCCATTGGTGTTCAGGATCATGATTCAGCCCAGTAAACAGCTTTCCTGAAAAATGCTGGGTGCCACCATAAGGTCTAATCCAGCTGGTGTACATGGGCAGCTGGGTCACTCCCTGTTAATTGAACTTGTCAGAAGAAGGAAGTTCTGGCACCCATTTCCTCTCCTCACTGTTCTTTTTCCTCTCAGCTCCACAGACTGTGTAGCTCTGCCCTTCCTAAGAGTAGAGCTGGGCTGTGTGTACTCCAGGATCAGGCTCAGTCCAGGGCCAATGTGCCACTAGGTGCTGAAAAGGCCAGTGAAGTCAGGCTCACAAGGCCTTAAGCAGGTGTCACAAAGGCCACAGTGGGCAGCCCACATTGGGAGGGGGGGTGCTGAGCAGTCAGCAGATGTATGGTAGAGGGAACTGGTCAACAACCTGTCAAGGTGCCAGGAAATTCAAGAGCTCAGATGAAGACTCTGGGTAATGAAGGGGAAGAGGCAACATGGTTGAGAGGCACAGGGCAGTGCGCAGACTGTGTGCGTTCAGATCCTGCTTCCGCTGTTTACCAGCAAGGTGCCCTTAAACAAGTGATGTAAGTTTTCTGTGAAATGAGGGCTACAGTACTAGCTACCATGGAGCACTGTTATGGGGATCACTGAAATAATCCATGCAAAGCACTGACACCTGGGAGATGCCGCATTAGTACACTCTCCCATCACCTGGCGACATGCAGAGTTGGTACCATAGAGATAGTGGACATACTGCCTTCACCTGCAGCAAGGCACCAACGTTAGTATGGACCTTCTGTGAAAAAGTCCTGGTACTCTGTCAGGCAATTTCCAAATCTTTCTTTCAGGAAATATTTTTTTTAAAAGTTGTTTTTAGAGGAAAAGTTGATCCCACCCTCTCTATTCCACCATGATGTTAGTTGAGACCTCCTTTCCCCATCATTAACAATAATGTAATTATGTTTGTTATTCACATCTTAGTCCACAAGGAAGAGTTCATCCTGTTCCATACTACAATTATTTCTTTCTGAGACCCTTACAAGCTATCCACTAAAGCACCTGCCCTTTCTAAAAGGTCAAATGACCACTATCACTCTCTAGTTCAAAACCACCAAAGGTTCTCCACTTCCATTAGAATCCAGACTCCCCATTGTGATCCATGATATCTCCTAACATGGCCTACCTCTAGTCCCCTCACCAGCCACTGTTACTCCATTTCCCTAGTTCTGGCTGCATGGGTCTTCCTGGTCTTCTCCAAATGTGCCATTATTGGAGTCCTCACAATAGATAATACACTTTCCCCACCTGTATGACTGTCTCGAGTCTTCATATTAGGCTTCTGTCTAAAATACCATTCCCCTCCCCAAAGCTTTATTTATTTTTCTGTATTATTTTTCTGCTTAAAGCAATTGGAAGGATATTTGTCAATTATTTATTACATGTTTACCTTTCCCTTACTGCAATGTCAGATCCAGAAGGGCAGAGACACTTCCTGTGGTGTTCACCACTGGGCCTCAATGCTTAGAAACATGCTTGAGATACAGACAGATATAAACAGTTCTGAGGAAAATAAATGTTTAGGGTACTGGGAGCCAACTAAACCAAAAGATGTTTCTTTGAAAAGAAATTAAATTAATGCACTTCTAGCTAAGCAATCTAAGAACAGAAAAGAGAAGACACAAATTACTAATATCAAAAATGAAATAGGAGGCACCATTACAGACCCTATGGACATAAAAAATAACAAAGGAATGTTATGAACAACTCTATGCTCCAAGATTTGCAAGAATGTTATGAACAACTCTATGCTCCAAGATTTGCAAGCTAGATGAAATGGGCTAATTCCTTGAAAGATACAATCTGCCAAAACCTACACAAGAATAAGCAGACAATCCGAATAGGCCTATATCTATTAAAGATTGTCTACATAGAACATTTGAAAGAACTGACAAAAACAGAAAAAAATTAATAACCACTTCTGGAACTAATATGCATTATGGCAACTTTTCAGGACTCAAAGTTAACATAAAAATGTTAACAGCTTTCCTACATGCCAGCACAGAAAAATTGACATGTGAAATTAAAAACACAATATCTGATACATTCTCTATGGAAAACAGTGTGGCAATTCCTTAAGAAACTATATAAATAGAAGTGCCATATGATCCAGCAATACCATTCCTATGTATTTATCCAAAGAATATGAAAACGCTAATTTGAAGAGATACATGTACCTATGTATATGTACGCACCTATATGTTCATAGCAATGAGACAAAGGGCAAGCTAGAAATTAGGCAGTTTTAGGGACAGTGTAGGAGGGGACCTCTGAAGAATTTAGGGAGGCTTCAGAGATAAGGACAACCAAGGGAAAGTAACCCATTCCACTAGGAAAAACAAACATCCCAAGACCAAGGACAACATTGTTAATGCTAGTCCTGGTTTCCTTCAGGTGGTAAAGGGAGGCGGAGATTGGAGAAATGAAGAGTGGTTTAATTTATGGACACATTAGAAGGGCAGCTGTTTAACTTCAATGCAGGGATGCCCATCCAGAAGACTGGGCCATAAATTTAAAGATGCAACAAATGGGGAAAAAGAAAGCTGTTAGATAAGGAATGTGAAGATCCCCTACTCAGTAGCAAATTAAGTGAGACAGCTGAGAACTAACCAATCACAAAGAGACTGGTGGAGTTTTAGAATAATGAGGGAAAAAAGGTATATATTCCCTGAGACACGGCTCCACTTTGGCTTCCTTGCCCCTCCCAGGCCTGGTTCCATGGCCTGGGAGTCCCACTTTATTTCTGTTCTTTTTCTCCTCAGTAAACTTTTTCTTCTTCTAAACAAACCTGCCTTTGCTCGCTTGCTTGCTGAGCGTCTGCGAAGTTCCTGCTGCGGCTTCGTGAGATACCAACCCGTGGGGGTCTAGTGGCTGGGGCTCAGCGCTGCCCTGCAGCCTGGGATCCATTCCTGGCTGGGAGACTAGGCCTGACAATTCCGGTATCAGCAACATGATTCACAATAGATAAGACATGGAAATAACCTAAATGATCACAGAGGACTGGTTATTAGGAGCAGAAAACATGAGTTTTATGAACTGCTTCTCTAAGTTGATGCAATTTAAAGGCACCATAACTCTATTTTCACTGGTAAAAATCATACTGATTATCAATGGTATGATGTGGCAATAGAGATACACAAGCTCTCACCATGAGACAATCCTAATGTCTAGCTAATCATGAACAGGTCATTTTGGAACATTTTTGCCCAACTTGTGAGTATAATGAGGTCAGCTGGTTACTTTTAACTGTTCTCAGGAAAAGGTGAGTTTAGGAATTCAAATCCTCAGCTCAAGAAACATAAAAATGATCTGTAAGTTTCTTTGTATGCTGTGAAAGTAACTCTTACTTATATAGAATATTAATTGAGATTTCTGAAAATTGAACTTAGAGTATTATCCTGAGAATGGATGAATTACTATATAGATTCCCAATCTGCATAGTGTCTATTTTTATTTTGTTTTAAATTTAAAAAAAAAAAATATTTCTTTATTTACACAAGCTTGGGTACAGTCAGAAGTGCGGGAGGGTGACAGAATTCACCAGAGCCAGAGCGGGGAATAGAACAGGAAGACTGAAGAAATACACTGCTGAGGGGAGAGTGGGCATGGCAGGAGAGGTTTTCATGCCATGAGAGACCCTGGCCGGCGGGCGGCCAGGGATGGAACCGGCACTGTAGGGGCTGCGGGCAGCTTTGCAACCCAGGGCTCAACTGCTGCACCACCAGGGGGGTGCCTCATAGTGTCTATTTTTAAAGTTAACAGCATGGGTTGAGAAGGAATGAGATCCAGAAAGACGGAACATATCATTAGATTCTGATGGTTTCAGATATTGAACCCCTAAAAACTTCTATTTTCTTTACTAGTAGAATCAGTCCTTCCACTTGTGTTGGGGAGGTTAAGCCTACTTTGTTAGAGGAGCCTATTAAGGCCCCCTGGGGTAATTTCATGGCAAGACACTGCAGATTCTTCTCAGGACCTACCCCACCACCCTCTTTTTGCTTTTATAACCAGACTTTAGTCCAAAGGCCCCAACAAATCCAATGCAATATGTGACCCATGAGGAGATGTGCTACATTCTAACATTACTGCATGGCTTTTCCCACTGATACAGCAATCAGCTTGAGGAATATACGTGAAAATAGATAGATATTAAAGGTTTGGGATACTGGAGAAACAGAATTAGATTGGATCAAATTTTCTTGATATGGGCTAACTAAACAGAGACCCTGGATTTTATGTTCAAGGGATTAGAAGGGGTTCTAACAATTTGGTTACTGAGATGAAACATTAACTATCAGGTGATATACAATATAATGGACTGAAATACCTACCTTGGTATACCATACAGGCAGATATTCAATGGTTTAGGAGATTTGGAATTATCATGTATGACCCGCTCATCCATCCCAGAACATCTGAGACGGCACACCTGTCACCACTATGTGAAAAATATGTTTGTGAGAAGATCTTTAGCATCTTGAAAAGATCTGTAATCACTCTTCTATATGACCTTAGTGAGAGCTGAGGCACTGACTTGGGAAACTTGAACACAATGGGAATATATGGATTTTGGAGTGGCCAGACCCAAGTGGTAGCACTTAATTGCCAATGATAACAAGGACATGATTACCTTCAGGACAGCAATCATGATAGTCTGACAAGTACAGACACATATTTGTCAGACACCCAAAGGTGGTTGATCATAGTGTCTCTAGAAGAGAAGGTGATTAACAGACAACTAAGTTCTGACTTCATCCATATAAGCAAATCTAGGTCTAGTAAGCAGAATTATAATTAGAATCATAAAAAGAAAGAGTCACAGCTTCTCAATCAATTCCTAGACATATAGTTTATAGAACTTGAACCCCTTCTGTGAAGGGGAAACCAGGTCC